CATGGCGAGGCGGAGATAGACATCCAGAAAACAGACATCATGGTAATGTATGGTTGGCCGAAAAGTCGACCAGAAGAGGACATCGTAAATTTCAAAGCTAAACCTTCTTGAGCTGTTCAATTCAGGGTTTAAGGTCGTGCTGAAAAAGAAAGTCATTTTGAGTCAAGTGAGCTCAAAAGCAGCTGTTTTATTGGCAACCGATGGGTTGGTCAGAAGAACAAACGTGGCTGAAGATCTGAAACACTGAGCAACAACGCGGCATTACAATTTAATAATTGGTAGGATGTCCGCGTGCAGAAGGATATGACATGATATCGATTCATCTGTATTATCTGCTGGTAAGACCCCTATTTCCTCGAATATAATTATTTAAATAATCAAGGTGTTCGGCTTATAGGTAGTATCCTCATTAAAAGAAAAGGTGCTTAATTAGAAGGCGTTGATCATGGCTGGAGCCCACAAATAATGAAACGAGAAGGTTTTCCTTTTGCCCATTTTAACCAGAAAAGACATTAGGAGGGGAGGGGGTACCTAATGGAGAGTGGGTGCTAATTTCACATTTTGGTCTGGCTAAGGTGTGTAAGCGTCTAAGTCGTTGTCAGTTGCAAAAGCTGATTGGCCAGATTGAAATGAGCTACGCGCTTTGAATTACTGCTGTACATTGTAATCAAACGAAGAATGCTCTTTCTTTTATCACTATGCTGGGATTTAGTTGTAGCTTTCGCTTGGTATTGAATAATATAATTGCCTCGAAGTAACAAGGGTGAGCATTTAAAGATGAAAAATATAATTACTTTATGTTCTGATGAACTCGAAGCTGACGGAGAAATTTGGCGTGCACTCCTAAACTCCTGCAATCCACTAAGAGTAAGGAAAACAGAAACAAACCACACAAAGAAACGAAAACCTTTCTGTCACGCAGTTTCACCCATCAGAGCTTAATTTAAGCTGGTGACACACTAAGCGACAAAGCGGTTTTATGCGCAGATCGCGGCAACAGGTCAAATCGCCAGGTGTGCCCGCTGCAGTGATGGCGATT